AGGTCGCGCGGGTCATTTCAGGCCAAGATAAACTTTGAAAGGACTTTGTTCCGCGTCACCTCGCCCTTTTAAGTGTCCCCGGAAATTTCTGTACCCTCCCTCGCCTGGTGAAAAATGACTCGATCCGAGCTAGCTTTCGTCACGTTCGCTAACGCGACCATTCTACGTTTACTCCCTGATATCGCTTCGACATTCGACCAATGTTCCCGATTAATCTCTATTTGCCTTCTGTTTCGTCCAATTCCAAACAATGTTAACTCTCTTAATTCTTTGTACGGCGTTATCTCGAAAATGACTGTGAAAGAAGAGAAAGAAGGGTTTTCAATTTTCTTTATCTCATCCCAGGCCAGGGTCGAAACGTTTCCATTGTCCCGCGATTCCGGCTGTCTGCTTTCCAATTTGCGAGCTACGACCGATACAAGGAATCTCTCTATGCGAAAGCCCCGCAGGCATGCTGCGAAAATTGGGATAGAGAACGACAACGACGTCGTCGTGTTCTCCCTTTGCAGCCGGTTCGACGCCACGCACCGCCACGTCGCCCCCATCAACGTTATTTAAACGTGAACAAGCGTACCACCCTTTGCTGTTCTTCCCTTTCATACCCTACCCTTGTGATACTTCGCAACGAACAGACCGGAAAATTTCACTGGTATATTGACTTTTTTCCCCCTGCGTTGGTATGTCGGGGTGGTTTAGCGAGCGGCGGCGAAGATAGGGCGAAGCGAGGCAAGATTGATGTGTTTTTTAAATGAACGTTTCTGCTGGCTTTTCATTTGTAACAGTGCTCTTCTAGCCACCTTTTTAATGAATCTCTGAAATGGTTAGTGGGTTGTACGATTAGCCCATTGCCACGGTGTTTCACACAGTGCGTGGGTGATGGGACCAAGTTTTCAGAGTGTTGTGAATATTAATTCGTGCGAATGTAGTCTAGCAGGGATTAGTGTACTGTACGTTGCAGATTTTTCGCGATTGTTACGAACCTCTTTACTATCTAACAATCTCATCAAAATCACGAAA